TTAAAACAGTTGGCTTTGATGATGCTAGATGCCAATTAAACAAAGCTGCAAGTTAGCAACTTAAAAATCTTGTTTAATGTCAGTCAAAACATAAGGGACACTAACATTTACATATTTTTAATCCAAAGAAAATTAGACACTTCTGATTTGACAACATGATTCATGTAATTCACAACACATCAAATAAACCTTATTATTTCTAGTATTTTTCTCAGAGTTGTCAAGAGTTTATCATAGGTCACAATACTTTGATACTGTGGGAAAAAAACAAAAGAGTAAAAACCTTAGTGTTTTCAAAAGTCATGAGGCTTGGTGTTATGGATTGAATGTATCCCCTAAAAATGTGTTGTAAATCCTAACCCCTGTACCTGTGGATAAGGAGCTCTGGTGATGTAGTGGGTAAAGCATTTGGCTGCTAACCAAAAGGTCCACAGTTCAAACCTAACAGCCATTCCATGGCAGAAAGACAAGGCAGTCTGGTTCCATAAAGATTTTACAGCCTTGAAAACCCTGTGGGGGTCGCTATTAGTCAGAATTGACTTGATGGCAGTGGGTTTTTGGATTTTTTTTTTTTTTTTTTTTGTAACTGTGGTTATAATCTCATTTGGGAATTGTTTTCCTTTGTTACGTTAATGATGAAGCATTAGTATAGGGTGTGTTCTAAATCAATCTCTTTTGAGATGTAAAACAGCAGATTAAACACAACCAAGCACAGATACAGATGGGGGGAGACTGATGCCACACCACATAAGCTCTCTAAGGAACCAAGAAACAAGAGCTGAATCGAGACAAGGACCTTCCTCCAGAGCCAACAGAGAGAGAAAACCTTCTTCTAGAGCCAGTACCCTGAATTCAGACTTCTAGCTAACCAGAAGGCTGGCAGTTCAAACCCACCAGCCACTCCTCGGAAGGAAGGTTGGGCAATCTACTTCTGTAGTGATAATCGCCTCAGAAACCCAAAGAGGGGTCGCTATGAGTTGGATCTGACGCCATGGATCCAACGCCACGGCTGTGGTTGCAGCCTCCTAAACTGTGAGAAAATAAATTTCTGTTGGTTAAAACCATCTACCTGTGGTATTTCTGTAATAGCTAAGACTATTGGTTTTCAACATGAATTCAGGAGTTTATTCTAATGTCACAGTAACTTTGGCCTTCTAGGGAGATTACACAGAAATTAACCCCTTAAAAGCTTTAAAGAAAATTTTAACAGAAACTCAAATTTTGCTTTATATACTACTTGTTACTAAAGCTCTTAGAAATCTCATGAATTAACCCATTCAACTTTAGCTAAAATAGGTAAAATCTTTGATTCTATCAAATAAAATTCACTTTTATAAACCTCTTAAGCTATTTCTGTCTTTATCACATGTCTCTTATAGTACAACTTTTTTCAGTGGCAAAAATGAACACATCTATTAGTAAACCCAAATATATATCCTCTTTGTGGCATATAAATAAAAAGCAAAAGTATACAAATTTAAATTGTAATGTCTGCTAACTCAGTATTGGTAATTTACCTATACTGGAAAGTATCAAGTCTATATACCACAAAACATAATATTGTTGAAATAAAGTTCACTTAAATATCCTAAATTTTCATGCAAACTTTTGCCTGTTTATACACACACACACACACACACACACATATATATATATGTGTGTATTTTTTTTTTTCCAATCCAGCCTTGTGTTGTTGTTGTTGTTGTATACTGTTGAGTCAGACCCATAGCGACCCCTCCTTGGGTTTCCAAGGTGATATAGGTGATATCACTACGGAAGTAGATTGCCCCATCTTCCTTCCCAGGAGTGGTTGGTGGGCTTCAACCACCAGCCTTCTGGTTAGCAGTCAAGTGCCTTAGGCACTGCACTACCAGAGCTCCTCAATCCAACCTTAGCTCTTTTAAGATTTTATCAACTTGTTTTGGAAATCACAAAGTCTTTGCTCAATCTGGCCACCTTGTTCATTGATATGGATGTACCCTTAGGGTCTGGCTAGGGTGGAACAGGGAACACTTTTTCATCCATTTATTGGTTAAACAATTAAACATTCCAGGTGCCTTTTCATTTAGGTTTTAAAAATTCCTGTACAGTAGAAATGGGTTGTTTATTGTTCTTTAATGTTTCTGATAACTGGACTAAGATAGTATTTGTTTGTTTTAACTCCTTCAGTGTCCATCTATGGAGCCCTGGTGATGCAGTGATTAAGTGCTCATCTGCCAACCTAAAGGTCGGCAGTTCAAATCCACCATCCTGCTCTGTGGGAGAAAGATGATGCAGCTGGTGTCTAAAGATTTGCAGCCTTGGGAACCCTGTATGGCAGTTCTACTCTGTCCTATAAGGTTGCTATGAGTCAGAATTAACTTGGCAGCAATGGGTAGCATCCATCTTATTTTAAAGGATTTCTGTTGGGAGTCCCTTGACTATGCCTTTTACTGTTTTCTTGGTAACCAGTTTAGCCTTCCTTCGTTATCATAACCTTTTATCACCCTTTACTATGAGCCACCCAGTCATTATTGTACAAAATTATTTAGCAATTTTGTAAATAGACTCATCAAATCTCAGCTAGCTTCTTTTTTTTTTTTTTTTTTCCATCTTGGTTTGGTCTTATGCTTCCCTTTTTCTCATTCTGGAAAAACCAGTCTCTTTATCTTAGGACAAAACTACTCTTTTTTTCTCCCAACAGAACACATCCCATATACTCAGTCTAGCTGAAGTTACCAAAAAGATCTTGGGAATTGCTTTTAAGTTGACATACTACAAAACAAAAACTTGTATCAGAATGAATTCACTTTCATAATTCCTGGGAATATTAGGACCATTCAATTTACCTAAGTGCTTTTTTTATCACTAACCCAATCAGCAACAGCTCTTTTAGGTAATTTTTTTTTTTTTTTTCTTTTAGGTAATCTTATAACCTAATTTAATAGAATCTGGAGGTAGGAAAATATTATACTTCTATAACCCTACCTTCTTTTGTTGTTGTTTATAAGGTTTTGTATCTTTGACCAATTTATTTTCCTAGAGAAAGCCTCAGGAATACTTTCAAGGGCCTTTAGGCTCCTTTTATGACCTGTTTAGAGGGCCTGAGATTTTTAGGGGAGCTCTGTTGGTGTAGTGCCTAAAGCATTTGACTGCTAACCAGAAGGCTGGAAGTTCAAACCCACTGGCCACTCCCCAGAAGGAAGATCGGGCAATCTACTTCCATAGAGACACCGCCTGGAAACCCAAGGAGGGGTCACAATGAGCCGAATCCACTCAATGGCAGTGAGTTAGGTTTTGTTATTTTTTTATAATCCTTTTCTAAATTTTTCTATTTGTACTCAATATTGGGCATCCCTGGGTCCTATAAGCATATTAATTAATTGATAAAAGTCAGGGAGGCCAAAGTTGTATGTTCCAATTACCAAAACACCAAACCTACTGCCATCAAGTCGATTCCAACTCATAGTGACCCTATAAAACAGAGTAGAACTGCCCCCATACGATTTCTAAGGCTGTATATCTTTATGGAAGCAGACTACCTCATCTTTGTCCCATGAAGTGGCTGTGGGTTCAAACTGCATACCTTTTGTTTAGCAGCCAAATGCCATAACCACTGCATCACCAGACCGCCTATGTTCCAATTAGGATACTAAATTCCTCAGTAATTTTTTGAGATTCTCCCTGGGGTTGGGAAGTTCCTTTAAAATGGCTCATAATTTTGCATTTGACTGGGGGTACAAGAAATCTGGTCAGCTTTCTGGCTCCCATCAGAACCAGTTTAAACCTGGTTTACATTTGAAGGCATCTAGGGAGAGGGGCTTCAGAGACAGAGGTAAAAGGAAGTTTAGCCAGAGGAGACTTGGAATCAGGTGAGCAGGGCAAAGAGTAAGTGGATAAGGTCAGCTAAAGAGGTGGAGCGGTAGTCGATGTCATGGTTGTCATAGCTATTGGGCATTCTTGGAGAGGCAACTGATAATCCCGAGTGAAATTCTTAACTTTATCTATCTGAAAACTTCCCTATAATGGCTTCAGTAGTTCTACATTGTTCTTAATTTCATCCATTTTTAATCATAAAGTTCTCCAGTGTTCCTTGTATTCTGAGGACCTCATGTCTTACCTGCAAGTAGCAGAAAAACCCAAATGAGCTTAGTTGGTCAAGAGGGCTCGACCCAGTCTTCCCTAGTACTGAGTAATGCTCAGAGAACTTGTAACACAAAAAGAACAAAGTTTGGATCTGAGAGGAAACTTACCAGACAACCTCCACAAACAGTGTGAAGACAGCAAAAACCCAAAGAGCTTTGCAGGTACCAAGCCTGCCTCCGCAGAGTCCTCAGTCGCCAGGATCTCCTGCAGAATCCCACTTCTGATGCCAAAAATGGTTAAAAGGAACTGAGTCAATAATAAAATTAATCTATTGGATGAGGTTTATTCAGGCAGATCGAAAATCAAGTAGCACCAATCCACATGTGGAAAGGTACTCCTCTGAGTATCAGCAGTGATTGGCTTTTATTGACAGAAAAGGAAGCAGAAGCTTTCTGATTGGTTCACACAATTTAAGGAGCTCACTGGTCAATGAGAGTAGCTTGATTTACAAGAAAGCTAGGTGGTTACAAGAGGTTTTATTAGACTTATGTTTTTGGGGAAAAAAAAAAACAAGTTTTAGGGGCATATTTCACTTGATGGTTGACACCATTTTATCAACCACATGAGTCCATTTGATTTCATTTAACGTTTGCCAACTGTGTGTGTCTCTGTAGGGCTATGTCCCACTGTGTACCTGTGTCCCTATTTGTCTATGCAGCCTTCTGCAGGGCCCATGACATCTGTGCAATGTCCTGTGTGCCTGGTGCCAATGCAAGTGACTGTGTGCTGAGTGCATCTTCAGGCCTGTCCCCTGGGGTCTGTGTTTATGGGGGGAATCCGTGTATTTGGGGGAGGGGGACCTGTATACATGTGGAGGGTGGTCTGTGTATACAGCAGTGTCCCACCCAGACTGTGTCTTGCCCCAAGAGCATCATCTATTTGCACTTGTGCACATAGTAGCCGGTGACATAGCCCAGGATGAAGACGACCCAGAAGAGGGCCACTCCGCCCAACACCTTCATGGTGATACCCAGCTTGCCCGTGCACAGCTTCCGGCAGACCCTGGGATTAGAAAAGCCTCATGTGAGCCCCAGGGCAGGGCTGCATGGGGGGCCCTAAGGGTTCTGATGGGGAGGAGTGGGCCCCAGAGATGGACAGACCCAGGGCAGGGTAGCAGAGGGGGGCGCCAAGAAGATGGATGAGGAGGAGTTGGCTCCAGGCAGGGCAGGCAATGGGCAGGGTGGGTCTCAGTCAAGGCTTTCAGGAGTGGCCCCCAGGCAAGTTAGGCCCTGTGGGCGGCTGGCAGGGTCAGGAGGAGGCTGGAGCAAGTTGGGAGTAAGGAATTCAGCCCTGTCAGGCCCTTGGGAGGTTGCTCTCAGGCTGGGGCCAGAGAGGAGGGCTGGGGCCTTGGGTAAGGAAACCTGAACTCTGATGAGGCCCACAGAAGGGACAAAGCTGGTATCCAGGGAGGGGACAACCTGCCTGTCAGGGTTAGGGTTAGGGGACGGGGGATAGGGTAGGGGCCTCCTTACCTCTCACAGCGAGAGGCCTCCCCACTGTTGGCCACGGCCACCACGTTAACTTCATCTCGGCTGCCGTCCTTCCACCGGCTGTACTGGACACCACTGTCCTGGGGCTGCATGCTGGGGGAGAAGGGCAGAGGGCCAGCTGAGGCCTTCCCTGAGCCAGAGGGCATAACCAGGGCTGCATTAAGGTCAGGGCCTCCCAAGGGTAAGGGTGAGGAGGCACTAACTGTGCAGACAACAACCCCTTACCCAAGGAGCTCCAGAGCACCTCTAGGCCCATTCCACAAAGCGTTTCAGTGACTTGCCTGGGGCCACTGGGAAGAAGAGGCAAAACTGGAATTCCAACCCAGGGTCTGGCAGGTGGCCAGTCGCTGACCTCTGGAATGTGCAAGGCCGGGTTCATGCATAACCACTCCCTGGGGTTCCCAGATCATCATCATGAGGCCTGGATATTTATCTAGGGAGGCCAGGCCCCTAGGGCCACCCTCAGAGAAGGGACGCTTTGGGTCCTTGGGCTGGTGTCCAAGAGAATGCCTCTCCCATTCCTGCTACATGAGGCCCCGTTGCTGATCTCTGGGGAGACTAGGTGGGCGGGCCTGGAGGGCAGTGGCTGGTACTGCCAGCTCTGCAGGGAGGCCTGACTAGCCCTGGGCAGTGGTGGCAGCTGTGTCCCTGGCCTTGTCTGCACAGCAGCCCCTCCCCCTCCTGCAGCTTTGGGAGGCACTATAGCATGGGCCCCCACAGTGTTGAGCCAAGGCATGCTGGGGGTTCAGGGGTCCAAGCAGAGATTGGAAAGGAGGAATGGGACCAGGTGGTGCCTGGAGCAGAAGTGGGCACAGACTTGAAGTCTGGTAGTTCCTTTCTGTACCTCACGGTGCTTGGCCCCTCCTACGCCCTGGAGAGGCAGGGGCAGAGTTGGAGCTGTGACTGGGATGGGGGTGAGTAGTGTAGTAACAGCAATGATGCTTGCTATAGGCAGGCCCTCCAGGATACCTAACGCATCATGGTGTTAACCTCGCAGCCTGTCACTGTCCCCCTTTTACCTAAGCGGGGCTGGAGTACCAGGAAGTGAGTATCCAGCCCAACCGTGGGATGCTGACCACTCACTGCAGGGGCAGGTTGCACACTGCAAGGGGATGAGACTTTGCTCAGGCCCCACCAGCCTGGGCAAATGCTGACCTTTCTCCCCCAGGTAATCCTGGATGCAGCAGCTTAAAGGCACAGCAGCTACTTAGCTGCAAGAAGCCAACCAAGAAACCCATGAAACCAGGTGTCCTTAAATCCCTAATGTGCTTCGGGCTTGGCCGTTTCTCAAACCTGAGCCAGCAGGGAGGACAGAAGGAAGCCATGTCAGAGCTACAAAGGTCCTTCCTGTGGGCAGAATCCTATCTTGTTCCAGGCAGCAATGTGGCAGCCCCAGGTGACAGTCATGACTGGGCTGAGATAAGCATAAAACCCCTGGTCCCTGCCTTCTCCTGTCACCCAGACATGGGCAAAGTCAGCTGGGGCAGAGAAGGGTTGGGGGGAAGCTTTTGTTTTCATGAAACAAATAGTGGCCATCTTTTTCCTGCCGTGGATGTAGACATGATGGCAGCAGCCAGCTTGTCACCTGAATAGTCACATGACACTAGCCCTGAATCACCAAGTCCATGCCAACTACCCCCACCTGTGAACTTCTTAGGGTGTGGAGAATCCACCCTCTGTGTTCAGGTCTGGGATAGTGGAGTTACCTGTTACTTGCCATTGAAGGCATTCCTGGCTGGTGTGAAACACCCAGTGGCCCTCAGGTCACCCTGGGCCCTGAGGATTTGTGCCCTTCCTCCCTCCTCAATCACTCTCTCTGTGGCACCCATCTGGTGCTGGAGCTAGGAACCTGGTAGACCCTGTCCAGCAAAGTGAATAGGGGCAAGGACGCCCCCCTCCAGGTGCTGGGGAACCTCCTGGGGCTTCCACCACCTCCTGGGTGGGTATGAGAAGCCTTCCCTCCAGACCCTTCTTCCTGACAACACATCTCCCAGGATGCCACAATTTACAAAGCCAAGGGTGCTGGGGGTGAGGGCTGAAGCCTCTGGGGCTCAGGGGCAGGTCAGAGCCTAGCCAATGGCTCAGCTCCTCCGACGTGGCCAACTCCTCAAGCCTCGAGAAATAAAAATGTAAAAGGTGGCTGCAGAAGCTAGTCCTAGGAGCCCAGAAGGGGAGAGTGGCCCCAGAGGCGTCCCAAGAGGGCTGTTCAGGGATCTGGCAGCCCCTCCGCGGGTTATGTCCAGGGACGGTCAGGGGACGCCCCCTCCCTCAGCTCTCCTCAACTCCCCACCCTGAATACCCCCTCCCCCGGCAATGCGACTCTCCCGGGGGCAGAGGCCATTCGGCGTCAGCTGGGCCACCCTCCCCCTCTGCTGTAGGAGGAAGCTGCACCGCAGCTACCGCAGCCAGCCCACCGCCCCCCAGCCCGCCGCGTACCCCTCACCTCGCGCCCTCCGCCCCCGGCCGCTCCTAGTGCGCGGCCCGACGTGTCGGTCTCCCGCCCAGGAGGGGTGGCCTCGAAGGGGAGGTGGGGATCCAGGGACGAGGCGGGGCCTGGGCGGAGCGGGGGCGGGACCTAGGCGGAGCGGGGGCGAGGCGGCCTAGGGTAGGGGTCGGGGCCTAGAAAGGAGGTGCCTAGGAGGGGCAAGGCCAATGGGGGCGGGGCCAAACCGAGACACAGATGCGGGCCTAGCCCCGGAGGATCAGGATGGGCGGGCCTAAGGGGGCCGAGGGTGCTGGGACGTGAAGTAGGCCTAGGTGGCCCATGGGACTGGCCCCGGGCCGGGAGGGTAGGCGGAGCGAGTGCGGGTGCGCTAGCCCTCCGAGACCTCGGGCAAGTCAGCCTGCTGCAGGGGGTGGGGCCTGCAAGAAGGCGCCGCTCCCAGAGACCCGAAACCCGCAGAAGCGAGCCTAAACCCCCGAATCCCCGAGGGACCTCCTTGCACTGCAGTTCCGCGCTGAGCGTCGGGGAACCGGGGCTCGAAGGCAGAAATGAGGTTACAGGAGCCACTTGGCATTCCGGGCTGAATCCGGAAAGGTGGCCGGAGGCCTCTGATGGAGTCAATGAAGCATCCTCGAGGAGCCGGCCTCTGCGGGGCGTAGGGTTGGCTGCAGGGCCGAGGGTGGGGGGGCAACCCGACGCCTGGCTGAGCTCTGAGAGAGCACAAGAGGCTATGTCCCTGCGGGCTTGGAGTGGAGGCCGCGGCGCCCCGCAGGCACTGGCAGGTCTTCTGTGGGCAGTGCCCGTCTGGTTCGGCGCGGGCACAGTACCCGGCGCAGGGTGCACATCAGTAAGTAACTGCAGAATGCATACGTGAATGCGTGAACGGTGTGAAGGGAGAGCAAAGAGACGGCGTATGCCATGGACAGATTGCTGCCTTCACGTCATCACTGAATCCAGCACAGTCCCTGTCCTCAAGGAGCTTTCCTTCCAGGGGATGAATGCACTCAAACAGGTGTGTCCCTCCCCACCCACCATCTGGCCATGGGCTTCCATCAGCCCATCAGTGCCCCAGTCTGGTTGAGTCCCTTGGTAAGGGTGGGGGAGGTCACAGTGCCCTGCTAGCTCTAGAATGTGTATGCAGTGGGTACTGAAGGGAGGAGGGGGTGTGGGTTGCAAGCTGAGTGTGGTGGGTGGATGCCCAGTCCCAGGCCTCCTGCCAACAGGACATTGTGCTCTGCAGCCTAATATGGCTAGACCTCAATGTGAGGTCTCCCAGAGTGGACCCAATGGTATAGCCTGGGGATGCTGATTCCCAGTACATGTGGCAGGGGTGGGGCATGGCTCTGAGGTTGCAAAGGCCCATAAGCCTGTATGTGGAAACTGGGGAGAGAAAAAGGTGGAAACCACAGCTAACAATAGAGTTTAATTCTGAACCAGAGGGTGCAGGCCAGGCTGGAGGAGGACATGTGGGAATGGCATCTGGAGCTGGGAACTGGCCTTGCTGGGCTGAACACACTGCACATCCTGTTATGACCTACTTGGAAGTCGCTTTCTTGGATTTGCCAGTCGAGGAGTATAGGCCATCGGATTGGTTCATGGGTGGGACTTTCACTCCTTTCTGCTTCAACTGGTTGTAGTAGTCATTTCTCTCTGAGATGACTTTCTAGAGAAGAGACACAGCCTGCCTGGGAGGCAGGTTGGTGCCCGTGCCCCAAGCCACCATCCTCCTTCACAGTTAGAGCCACATAGTCAGGGCGGCAAAATACCTTGGGGGCAATCTGGCCCCTCTGTTTGAGCAGAAAGACAGTCCTGGGGTATGTGTGTCCACCTCACAGAGAACCTCATAGTCAACAAGGAGGATGAGCAGGGGACGAGAATGAGGTTCCCAGAGGCCAACGCAGGCC